TTTCTACTCTGCTGCCAGAGCGAGACAGAGTCTACAGCCGGGTTGCATGGGTTTTCTGGCGTATGTGATGGATTCGCGGGTTGCTACTGAGAGACCGAGTTCTATCTCTGAGGTTTCGATAGTGTGTGAGTTTGCGGATGTTTTCCCCGAGGAGTTGCCGGGAGTGCCTCCCGAGAGGCAGGTGGAGTTCCGGATTGATTTGATTCCGGGTGCGGCACCTATTGCCAAGGCACCCTATCGCCTTGCGCCATCAGAGATGCAAGATTTATTCTCTCAGCTCTAGGAGCTGCCGGGGAAGGGGTTCATTAGACCGAGCAGTTCGCCGTGGGGAGCTCCGGTCCTTTTTGTCAAGAAAAAGGATGGTTCGCACCGGATGTGCATCGATTACATAACTAATTACAACTTATTTGTAGGCTGATACTATTTGGTAGATGCTGGTTTGCCTCATACAACTACACTAATGGCACCATATCGGGGTGTCAGATATCATTTGAAAGAGTATTCTGCTCGGGCCCCTGAGAATGCAAAAGAGTTGTTTAATCTCCGTCATGCTTCATTACGTAACGCTATAGAACGGGCATTTGGTGTTTTAAAGAGAAGGTTCCCTATCATTAGAAGTACACAAGAACCTTTTTATTCTTGTGAAACACAATCAGACATTTTCTTGGCATGTTGTATTTTACATAATTTTTTTTAGAAGAAGATCGAGACAAAAATCTTGAAGATGAGGTCCTACAGGAGATGTTAAATGAACCAAGAGAGGAAATGCGCCATAATATAGGAGAGACAAGTGAGGGTAATGCTGCGGCAGAGCAAATGAGGAACTTAATTGCAAATCAAATGTGGACTGATTACTTGCCAAATTGAAACCATGAGATAGATATGTCAATGTAGCTACTAGTTTTTATTATAGCATTTCAATTTGATTTTGTATGGATCTTTTGTGTTTGACTTGATTTTGTATGAATCATTATTGGTTTGACTTTATTTGTGTTATTTATCTTTCGGACATGTTATTTACTCATTATTTGTACATCCTCTAAGTATGTATTTTTTATGTTATCAATGCATGGTTTGTTTATTTATGATGTTATGCAGGTCAAAATGATGAAGGAAGAACAAGTTACTAAGAAAGAACAAATAAAATGGACAGATTGGATGGATTCTTGTTTTATTCAATCTATGATGACACAAGATGAGAAAGGGTTAAGGATTAGTGGGAGTTTCATCCCACAAGCGTACACCAACATGGTGGAGGAGCTTAATCAAAAGTTCGGGAAGAGTTTAACAAAAAATCATTTAAAGAATCGTTTGAAAACATTAAAATCAGGTTTCTCGCAATGGTATGACATGTTCCGCGGAACTTCATTGAGTGGGTTCGGTTGGAATTCTGAAACACAACTAATTGAAGCGGACGAGGAAGTGTGGGCCAACCAAATTAATGTAAGTTTCTTTTATTGCATGTTACTTAGTTTGTATACATTTATGTTATTTTTCTTAACAATAATTGTATTTGGGATTGTGTGTTACAGTCAAAGCCAGAGGCAATTTCATTGAAGTCCAAAAAAATACCAAACTACAATGAAATGATAGCTTTGTTTGCGAAAGATAGGGCTTCAGAGGTGCATGCTGAAACCCCGAAAGAGAAGAATGCTCGATTGAACAGGACTGGGGATATCAAATTAGAAACAATTGAAGAAGTGGATCAGTTACTAGCAAGCAATGACATAACACTTGAGAAACAACAAAAAAATGATGATGATGATGATGGTCTTGATGATATTCAAGTGTTATCTCCTACATGCTTTTCACCGGTGCAAAATTCAAGTTCTAAGAAGTACAAAAGTAAAAAAAAAAAGGAAACATGAAATTGAAAATGAAGATGAACCTGAAGTTGAACCTGAATCGTTTGAAAAGGTTATTATGAGTGCAGTTAAAGATGTGGCTTCTGCTATGAGGGAGGGTAACAAAATCTTCGAAAACTCTTATCATCGGGTTTATACTGGTGATGAAATTTATAAAGAGTTAGAGCCAATGGATTTGGAACCCGATGAATTAGCAAAAACTCTCATGTTTTTGTCGCGAAATCAATCTGATGCGGGGACATTATTTAGAGTTCCATTTAAAATACGAAAAACTTTGCTGAAAAAAATGATGGGGGCAAGTAAATGACTTACTTAAGATGATAGTTTTTTGATTTTTTTATCAGTTTGACTTCATACTTATTGGTTTTTGATTTGAGTTCATACATTGCAATTTGTTTGATTATTGTTGCATTGACTTTAAATTGGTTTCTTATGAATTTGTTTGATTATTCATACATTTATGTTATTTTTTGTTTGGGTTTATTGATTTTTGTTTCACTTTATATTGGTTTTGTTTGAAAAAGTTATATAAATGAAGAACATACTAGAATTGTGATTAATAATGAATTATGCATTAATGATTTTTGCATAAATAATCATGTGAAAAAAATAATTAAAGAAGTCGAGATGTAGGCAATAGTTGGCAAAAAAATAATAGTTTAGGCATAATTTTGTTTTCAAGAGAATCGTGTGTTATATATTTGAAATTGTGGAAAAAAGGTGACAAGGGTATAATTGTCCACTTTTAGTTTTCATTTTTTTTCCTTCCATCTCGGGAACACAAAGAAAAATAATTTTTTTTCTTTCTCTCAAACTCGGGAACAAAAAAATACACTTTACTTTCCTTTCCATTCTTTTCTTTTCTCTCCATATTTTTCTTCTTTTCTTTTCTTTCCTTTAAATGAAACTCGGGAATAGGGTGTTTGTGATGATATTTTATCTATTAATCTTTCATGCAGTAAAAAGAGGAAGTTTCTCATATTGGGTTATGCTTTTACTCCATAGAAATAGAGATATCCCTTGGAGTTTATATATTGTATTTTTGTTTGTGGGTTTGGACTTTGGATATAATATTTTTTAAGAAGGATGCTAAAGGGTCTTAATTTGTTCCATTTTCTTCTTTTGTTGGTGCTCTATCTGCCCATTTTCTTAATTGCTATTCATTGGTTTTTATGATCCTTTAGGTTCTCAGTGCCCGTATATTGTCGTTTGTACAAACTGCTGATTAGGAAAAACATGGAGAAGTTTAATAAAGCTAATTTCAATGCAAAGTAGGAATTAAAAGCGATAAAGACATACCTGTAAATTTGTAGGCTTTGTATTTCTTAAAATTGAGTCTCGTGACCATGAAAACAAATCCATAATCGATGCTCAAAATGGTGCACTGTATCATTTTTTAACACTTTACATTGTACTTTAACCCAATTATGCAAGGATATTTTGTATATGGTTAAGCTATTTGGGTTTTAAGCTTTTTCCATTATGTTGTAAACTGTAAACATTCGTTTCCTTCTTCTTTTTTAGCTGTCATTGTTTAATTTAACTGCTATTCTCTATTGGTACATGCATGGGCTAAAGAGGACCTCATAAGAGAGCAACACAAAGAAGTCGCAACCTTCCGTATTTCTTAGAACATATATCCATTAGTGAATAGTGACAGTTTACTTCCCGGTTTTATGTTTGATGAAGGTAACATAAGTTGGTAAGATATTATTTTGTAGGAGAGAACGTGATAATTCTGAAGCTGAAAGGGCTCAACATCTTCAAAAAGTCCACGAGTTAAAAAGAACATGTCCAAGAAAAAGAGCGCCACTTTTTGGAATTACAGAAACAGGTACTCTCCTTTGTATGTTTATGATATGCTATGTTATAGTCACAACAAAAATGACTTATAACCTAGAAAATGAGTCCTTAACAGCAGACATATACTCTTGAGTGAAAATGACAACCCTTATATTTACAAGGCTTTTATGTTTGACTTTAACAGGGTGCATTTTAGATGGATGCGGTTTGCCTCTTATTGTAATTAGGTTGATTTTTTAAAAGTAAGTTGATTTTGTCATGAAAAGTCTTGCACAACTGATATTAAAGGGGAAATACTTAAGAGTTATTACCCTTAATAAAGAAAGTTAATAAACGAAAAATAAATGTGCAGGGCACATTCCCACAGAGAAGCAAGATGGGCCACAATGATGTATATTCAAAACGTTGGAGCATATGTGGAGTGACAAATATGTTTGTTTGCAATCAAACTTGAGCCATCACAGGTTGGTTACTAACGATTCTGCTAACATTTCTAATTGTTAAGTTCCTTTATTTTTAATTATGTCATTCTTACTTTATTACTTCCTTTAACTAACCCTTATAAGTTCTTAATTAGATGGACATTGGGTTCCAGAAACAAACCTAAAGCTGTTAATGACCCTACTGTACTGATCAATTGTCGAAAGATAACAAAATCATGTTGGCTTTGTTTTGTAAAATGTATACTCATTTAATTTCGTTGTCTTTGTTCTACAGGTCTGATATATACTTTTTGGCCCCACTCACTTCAAAAGGATAGTGAAGATTATTATTATTTTTCTACCTATGTTTACAAATTGAAAGTGGGTAAGTGGCAACTTGGTTTCAAAAACTGTATGCTAGATTGCACTTGCTTTTTAGTATATAGAGCATTTCTATTCTTACTTGAATGACTCGAGGGTTGCCTGATTCAAAATGAAAATCTTCAAACTGGTTTTGTTTGAAATTTCTAATAATTTAGGACAGATTAGGTATCTTTATTCAAAGGTTCTTACACCTTTCATTTTTGTTATTTCATATTTCTTTTTCAACTTTCTCAGGTGATTATCATCCAAGAAATGTCATTTTTGAAATCCCACAAAGATCACAGACTACAAAACCAAAACCGATGACCTCTCCATTGAAGATAATTTAGCTTTCATGATAGGATATATCCACGAAAGGATTGGAAAGTATAAGTGTGTGATAAAAATGAACCTGTCGACTAGAAAACAAGTTTAATGTAATCAGTTCAATGTAAGTTGATAAAATCTTCCAGTTTTGTCGTTTTCTTTGGCGTATCCAACCCCGCAAGGCGGGGATTCTTCCCTAGTATGTACTAACGATAATGTATCAAACAAAACGGCTTAGATATTCATCAACTGTAATGTATTTAACATCTGGATAAAGCGTTGAAGCTTCGACCCCGACTGATGGTTCAATCTCAAAGTTTGTTTGATCTCCTTTCACAAAGACGGAGTGCCAAATCGACAAATTCTTTTTTAGTGGGGCAGGAGATTCTGCAGAATAACCAACAAATTTTTTATCTTAGTCCTTCATTTTCTTCCAAAAATAACTATTGGAAAGAGAGAAACTCCAACATACATATTAATATTAATGAAAAGGGATGCTTTAGTATTGAACAAACTTACAACACATACCCTCTAAGTTCTTCAAAACTTGGCCTTCACACAGATAGACCCTCTCCAAGGTTTTTCCGATCTTTTTCTCCCATAACGACACCAAATCATGGAATGAGTAAACGTTACACGAAGGCTTGATGTAAACGATTTTGTTTAGGGTCCTTGGGTCATCAATAGTCTGAATGGTGTAGGTTGCAATGTCATGTTCCTCATTGAAAACAGCTGTGAATTATGTAGATGATTATATATGTAACCCGTAATGATTACCTTTTGTATATGAAAAACAATTGTTTTTACTGTTTACCTTTTGTATCACCATCGCCGAAGATAACCACCTTATCCAACGGAGGAGCGGTGGCTTGAGGCTGTGCCAAACTTGGAAGAAAGTAACCATCAAAGCAATTGTTAACTATGTACGTATGAGGGATTCCTTCGGCTTCAATGGCACGACGAATCTGAGCCTTAGTTGCGAAAGCTGTTTTAGCCGGACCCACTGCATGAGTACGATCCACGTCATTTCCGAACTCCGATGGGTAGAATTTCTTCATCATTCAAATAGATAAAGAGAAAAAGGTTTGATCGTCAAAATTCTATTAGCAACGTTGGAGCAAATCAAGTTTAGGTAATTCTAAACCGAAAGTATTCTAGGTGAATTTTTGAACGAATTAGATACAGGAATTTCCAAATGAAAGAACATATAATCACTAAGAGTAAATATTAATTATAAGATGAATCGGATTCGAACGCATTATATTTGTAAATTTCAATACCTTGACATTACCCGCTGCTTTGATGGCGGCGATGATTTTAACTTGATCGCCAAATTGCGCGGGACCGACTGTCGAGATCACTACGTCTACTTGTTTTACCGCCCTCACCACGCTAGCATGGTCATACAAGTCGCCCTGAATTTCTGACGAATATATTACGACTAATTTCTCTAAAAAATGCTTGATTCGATCAATATCATGTTACAGTTCATAATGCTTTAATTTAAAAATGAAAACGAAAGATTATTACTAACAGTGATGAAAGTAACGCCGGATTTCTTAAAGGAGTCGAGCATGGAGGATTTGGATGGATTTAAGAGCGTGGATTCCCTGATGAGGAGGAAAGTAGGGTGGCCGGACTTGGCACTGGCCTCCACAATGAACTTTCCGATGTAACCAGTTCCTCCAATGATCAAAATCTTACTCTTTTCCGCCATTTTCTTTCTACAATGACAGGAAAATGGGAGACGGAGTCTAGTAAGGACGGTGGCTCTTGCAGCAGGAAGCGTGAAATTTATAACTAGTCCTAATTAAGAGTGAGAGACAACACTCTACTAATGAGTTTAAACCACTTTATTTTTTAATTAATTTTGAAACTAAAAGAGTTGGTAATACCATGTAATGAGGTTGTATTATGAAAATATATGGTGACAATCATTATTTAATAATATTGCGTTCATGTTTAGAGGTTTTGCAAAACAAAACAAAAAAATTAAAAGGTTACCAAACTAGTTTTGGTTATGGGCATAAACTAAGAAATGACCAGCTAATAAAGGGAAGGTAACCCTTATTAACATGTTACCAGGTTCTGTACAAACTAATGAATTACATACCTACCATTACCATCGTCTCCCACCACCACTCTCATTAAATTCCGACAACCTCCGTCTCCCACCACCACAACCACCACAGTTCCATGTCACTATCATCCGGAGTAAATTCCGGCAACTTCCGTGTCGGTTCTCACACCACCATGCTATATTATCATTAAATTCCACCAAACTATCTAATAACAATTTAGATTAGATGAACGTACCAATGCCTAATGACATACCTAATATGACATTTCAAACTTTGTTGCTGCTTTCTTGGGCCAGAATCCAACGCCTAATCACAATTCAGATTAAGGTAATAATAGAAACGGCGCTTGTTTGCAAGCTACCACAAAACACGGAAAACAAACATGATGACAATAATCACAAGAGTTAGAAAGACCAAAGTGCAAGTGAAGACTATAATGTGAGTGTAAACCTGACTTGGTGTGAACCAGACATCAGTAGCTGCACCTCCATCTATGTTGACAATAAGAACTCAAAGGGCAACTTCGTATGTTCACATAATGAACACAATAAATGGTAGCAGTAGTAATTGTAGGCTTGTTTAAGTATAAATAGAGGCTCTAACCTCAGTTGTAAGACACCAAAAAATAACAACAGAGTGTAATGTGTAATACTTAGAGTGTGTATTATTACCTAGAGGGTTGTTTATCTTTCTTGTAATAGAGAGTGTTATTTCCTTTCTTTTGTTCCAGATCAGAATAAAAGAGTTTTTCAACCCAATAACTGGTATCAGAGCTTGGTTTAGCTCCAGGGGCTCATTCTCTAATTTTTGGTCGAAAATTTTTTTGTCTCAAAATCAATTTTGGAGTACACTGTTGGAAAGGTCTCGTTCCGAGGATTCCGAAAATATATTTTTTTGGATTTTTCGATCACTGGAAGGCCTCTAAATTACCGGTCAAAGTTGGTCAAACATCGCCGGAAATTTGGCCGGAAAAACCAGGTTCGTCGGAGAAGACGTCACTGTAGCAGTGACGTCATCAGTGACGTCGGCAGCTGACCAAAGTTCTGAAAAGTTGCAGTTTAGCCCCTGTTCTTCCGAAAAGTACAATTTAGCCCTTGTTTTTCAGAAAAATTGCAATTTTGGTCCAGTTTTTCAGAATAATTTCAGTTTAGCCCCTGTTTTACTTCTGTAAAAGTTCTGTTTACCCCCTGAACTTCTGAAAAGTTCATATTGGTCCCCGTACTTCAAAAAAAATCATAGTCGTGTATGCCCAAGTATATGCCAAGAATGACTACACCAACCTCGTCATCTTCTCAAGCTGAAGTTGAAAGTATTCAAAGGACCGGGAAAGACGGTAGTGTTACGTTACACTATCTAATGCTCACGAAGATGAACTACGCGGTGTGGGCCATAAAAATGCGAGTGAATTTACAAGCACAAGGAGTATGGGATGTAATTAAAAATGCAGAAACGGACGAACGTAAAGATCGGATGGCTCTTGCGGCTATTTATCAAGCAATTCCAAAGGACGTACTTCTAATGTTAGCTGAGAAGGACTAAAGAAGCATGGGAAACGCTTAAGATGATGCACATGGGAGCCGATCGGGTCGAGGAGGCTAAAGCTCAAACCTTAAGAAGTGACTTCGAGGTGATCCGGATGAAAGACAGTGAATCAGTAGATGATTTTTCAATGAGATTGAATACTATCGTAACCGGTATTCGATCTCTAGGTGAAAAGATTGAAGAAATTACGGTTGTTAAGAAGTTTCTGCGAGCCGTACCGATACGATTTATACAAATCGTAACATCTATCGAGCAATTCGGAGATTTGAAGAATATGATGGTGGAAGAAGTTGTGGGTCGTCTTAAGACCCATGAAGAGAGACTTCGAAGCTATGGAGAAAAAGAAAGAGGACCTTCTCTATTGCTTACACATGCTGAGTGGGCATCTCGTTCGAAGCAAACTGGTGAGAGAAACTCGTCAAACACTTCAAGAGGACGAGGAGGACATGGTAACCGAGGCCAGGGACGAGGACGAGGTCGTGGACATGGCCAAGGAGGTGGTCGCGAGTACAATATAAATCAGAATGACCATAATCCGTCTTGAAAGGATAAAAGTAAAATCAAATGTTTTACTTGTGAACAATTTGGTCATTATGCTTCGGAGTGTCCAAACAAGAATCGAGGTGAGGAGGCGAACCTCACTCAAGCCAACGAAGAAGAGCCTATTTTGATGATGGCAGCCTCACAATAATATGTACACAAAAAGGTGTCTCTAAGAGAGAAGATTTGTGTTAATCTTCTTGCATCAGGAGAAAGTCGAGTCGAGTCCGAGGTATGGTATCTCGACAACGGTGCTAGCAATCATATGACCAGAGACCGCTCAAAGTTCCGCGAACTAGATGAGCACATTACGGGCCATGTGAAATTTGGGGATGGTTCGACCGTCGATATTTTGGGAAAAGGGTCGATTTTATTCGATAGCAAAAATGGCGACCAAAGACTCCTTAATGAGGTATATTTCATTCCAAGTCAAAAAAACAATATTATTAGTCTTGGACAAATGATGGAGGAAGGGAGTCGGGTCATAATGGGAGTCGTGTCCGTTAACCGATATTTATTCTGAAACCGAAAATGTGTTCCTTGAACCCGGAGAATTGTTGATGATTGCAGCGGATCAACCCTTGAATTTTAAAGAGGCAGTAACCTCTAAAGCATGGCAGGAGGCTATGCAAACAGAGTTGGATGCAATCGAGAAGAACAAGACATGGCAACTTACCGATTTTCCACCCGAGCACAAAGCTATCGGTTTGAAATGGGTGTTTAAAGTGAAGAAAGACAACTTGGGAAAAGTGGTGAAGCATAAAGCTCGACTTAAGCAAAAGGATTTGTACAAAAGGAAGGAGTCGACTTTGATGAAGTTTTTGCACCGGTAGCACGACTTGACACCGTAAGGCTCATCCTTGCCTTAGCAGCTCAACATGGGTGGGTTGTCCACCATCTCGATGTCAAGTCGGCCTTTCTCAATGGTGATCTCAATGAGGATGTCTATGTTACCCAACCAGAAGAGTATGTTGATAAAGCAAACAGTCACAAGGTGTTCAAGCTTTATAAAGGTCTTTATGGTCTACGACAAGCTCCTCGAGCTTGGAACATTAGTTTGGATAAAAGCTTAAAAAGGCTTGGTTTTACAAAAAGTTCACAAGACCCAACCGTTTACAAAAGGAACTTGAAAGACAAAATTCTTATTGTTGGTGTCTATGTTGATGATGTTGGATTAGTGTCTAAGCCCGTAACTATATTTGGTATGTACTTGACCCGGTTGTGCATGGTCCTTTTGGGTTGCCTTCACCAAAGCAACTTGACAAGGTAATTTGATATGAGAGAGAGGATATTATGGTCTATTAATATATTATAAGAATAATATATTAAAAGAGAAATCATATTTATTTAATTAGTATTAGTCATAAATTAATTATGAATTAATTTGGTGACTAAAAGAGATTAATTAAAAAAAAGGGTATAAACTGTCAAAAGTGTGATAGTTAGATTTTGGGTTAAGGAATCCTAATGGACTTAAGGGGGAACGAAATTATGATGGGTATCCATCATATTTTCGTCCAAGGGCCTCATTCCAGAAGGTTCCTTGGGCTGCTTGGTGGCCAAGCTGTCCATTAGGGTTTAGACTGAAACCCTAGTAGCCTGCAAGTATAAATATGACCCCTAGGCTATGGAAATCGGCTAGACATTATTCCAAGAGAAACCCTAGGCCGATTTCTAGCATCCTCCCTCCTCTCTCTTATTGCCTTCTTGCTACTTGGTGTTTGTGATCCATTAGAGGAATTACAATTATGATTCTAAGCTCAAGCAAAGAAGATTCAAGCTATTTGAAGAGGTAAACATCTAGATCTGATGTTGTTTGTTATTTTGATAATATGTATGCTAGATTAGGGTTTGCAAGACTTGGATTCAAAGCATGTACAATAGAGAAACCTAGATCCAAGCATTAGGGTTTGTATGAGCACATATGATTGTTTCTTATGCATAAAACTCATCAGTGGTATCAGAGCCTTGATTGGTTTCAATTGTATGTGATGCTTAACTGTTTTGCTTGCTGAAATCGAGTTTTTTGCCTCTACCCGACTCAACTCGGCGAGTCAGTATCTGGACTCGGCGAGTTCAGAGCTGACTCGGCGAGTTCGAGCGTCACACAGAGGATATTTCGGGATTTAGTTGCTGTTTTGACTTGGATACAATGCCTAAATCGTTTTTTGAAGTTAAAATCCGAATTTTATCTTAATTAAATGATTATCCTTGCCAAAACAACAGATAATTTCAAATCTTTTGAATCTTGGTTGTTTATATGATAAATATGGATTATTTAAAATTATTTGGTAATTATCTAATGACTAAATAAAGTTAGATCAAATATAGATAATTATGAAATTAATTGTTTAATTTAAATTATGTGTTATTTGATCCCTTATGTTTTGAAAAGTTTAAAACTTGCCCTCAAGTTTTGAAATTTGAATTTTGTGATTAAAAGTTTAATTTGAATAATTTAAATTCCAAACCCTTAGAATTTTACAAGTTTAAAATTCAACCTTATGCTATTATATTATTACAAGATTAATTAATATATATGTATAAGAATAAG